TAAAAAGTGAGGAATGGAATTGCCGCACAAGAGTGTTTGGTGGCAGTAGGTAGGTAGACAGACGTTCATAGCAGAAGGCGGGCGAGGATAAACTTGTCACAGTTAATGTTTGGATGCGGGTATGTGTGTTAAATGTTAGATAGGGTTCACGTGTCGCGTAGATAAACGAAACAAAGTTCTTACCGCTGCCTCCAGACTCGCATCACCGAACTTAAGCAAGCCGTTCGCCGACAGGAGCCTTTATCAATCCTTTAAGTATGACCACCGCCTTAATTTGGACGACATCGAGGTGATCATCATGGTCAACGGGAGACAACTGAGAGAATTCTTCGAAGCTTGACACTCCAACCCGACTGGCATTAAAAGACACGTCGATCGTGATTCACATTACGAAGGTCTGTGTACACGGCTCACTGACTCGCATCCACAACAGTCGCTTGTCAATACTCGGCCGAGTGGAAATGCACTGGGGCAGCATCCCGCCGGCTCATGAACCCTATCTGCCTTTCAACACCCCTCTCCTTACCCCAACACTAACAGTGGCATGTTTAGAAGAAGATGCGATCACTGAAACAAGAGTTTTATTCTCCTGACGTTTCGGATTCCTTCGAAGATCCTTAATCACAGGTAATGGTAAGATAGTCTAAATCATGCGCAGATAGGGGTGAAACATGCCTAAATTGCACGGAATCCGAAACGTCAGGAAAATAAAACTCTTGTTCCAGTGGTCGCATCTTCTTCTTCGGAACCACCCCTATCTGCGCATGACTCAGACTATCTTACCATTACCTATGATTAAGGATTGCCGACGGAATTCGAAACGGCAGGAAAATGAAACTCATTTTCCAGTGGTTGCATGTTCTCCTTCTTCTAAACTGCTTCCTGGAACTCGCTTATTCACTTCTATTGGCAGTCACACTCTAGTGCGACAATCCCATTCCCCACATTTCATTTAGTCTGACGACGGGCCAGTGTTTACTGTTTGAAAATTCACGAGTACAACTCGATTTCCTGAAGATCTACTTTGTTTTCATTATAGTATCTCGGAATATAAACTACTTCACTTATCCATATACTAATACGGAACGTGAACTATAGAGCATAGTCCACATCCACTGCAAAGGTTTATTAAGCCCATATGACGTATTTCTAATAGCGTATAGAAATGAGTGATTCCTCTTACCTAGGAAATATTAGGCGTATAGTTGGGAAAACTTTCATGCAGGTACTACTGCAACCGGTCGAGTTCAAAATTATTTAGGAATTTACAGAGTCCTTTGAGGCCAAAATATGGGCTTTCTTCTGGTATACAATTTGAAGAACCCCTAATCTCCCACGCGTTCAAGTAAATATTATTGTTATACAGGCTTTCAACACAATCTACTGAAATTTACACGGACATCGAAAACCGATGAGAAATATCTACGCTAATAATTAGTTATATTTACACAAGACAAGAGCCGGAAGAAGCTGGTAGCAGAGTCTGCATTTTACCTGACTGAAATATGTTGGAATTATGCTGCAGACTAATTGATATTACAATCCTATTTAAGCAGTGTTTGATTTGGTTAACATTATAGGATATAGCTCATCCATTGTGGGCATTCTAGGGACCCAGAGTGATTAAAAAAACGTATATTCTTCAGAAGTTGCCTGGAATATATAGCCATTCCAGGCAACTGCTAAAGAATGTACGTTTTTAATTCATCATACTCTAAAATTCCACAATTTGAAGCCCAATCAAGTGTCTCACCACTAGTGTGCCGCTGCAAAACGCAATTGCGAGGACTTCGGCGAGTCAGTGAGTCTCCAGGTTTCACCAGGAGCTGCTTTAATGTTGCTTACTTTCCTCGGCAAACAAAGTAATTTGGTACCTTGAAGTAAATTCCCTTGGGGAACCAAACTGCTAAGGGTTCCGCCGAAATTTGATACATATAACTGAAGTAATCTTACACTGGCGAGGCTGACAGCTTGTTCGCATGATTTATTTTTGTTAACCGTTCTCTTCAGACTTGCCTAGACACCAGTTCGATCTGCAAGTGCGAACGAATAGGAGCACTCGTATAGGTAGAGATTACAAAATCGAAAACGGACAGACCAGTTTTTCCCCCTAAGGTTTGCAGTACCGCAATGCGCAGAACACGAAAAATTTCCAACTGAATTCCTCTATGACATTCCTCAAGCAAAAGTACTCCGACGGGTTGATCAACACAGGCCCTGCAGAAACTGTGATCAATAGTTTGCGCATGATTCTCGTTGCATTCTCACCATAACCAGCACCACAATCCCCTGCTCTTCCTCTTTACCTTCTTCATCATCATCATCATCATCACCGAAAGCCCCACCACCACGACCAAGCTTGAAGTCGATTACCGGATCTGGTGCAAGTGTGGAAAAATTGACAACGTCAGGAAGATTCTAGGAGATTCCTCTAAACGTCAGTGACCGGACATGCAGACGCAGTGAGGAGGTATGTCGCCAACCCCCGGATCATGGCTCATTCATCGGGATCCGGCACTACTTTCAAGTTTAACGAAGTCTAAATCCTCGCAAGAGGTAGTAACAACCGCGCGAGCCGGGAGCTGCTCGGATTCTGATTCTCAGCCCCACAGTGTGGCCATATGCACTGACGATCAGGGGTTGCTATAAAATGTCGCCTGTCGATCATCTACATGCAGAGGCTTCTGTCCTGCCAATCGCCCCTTACAACACACTCATAGGCCAGCAGTTCTAGTGGACCTGTTCGCAACCCGGCCATCCTAATCACTAATGTTGTCACGCTCCCGAAACTAGCCGCAGTATTCGACCGTCTATTAGAGCTCTCAACAAGGAAGCTGACGCTTCGTTTCTCTCGGATTTACCCGTTGATAGCTCTGCCATCAAGACAGGCCTCCAGCG